GGCAACCTGGCTGCAAAGTTAATTTCACTGTGTTCTTTTACACACATCCAAGCTTATAAACTCATAAAAGCCACTTTGGAGTTCTCAATATGCAGCAGCCTGGTATATATTTGTCTAATATTTATTTTTAACTGGTTTACGTCAAGAGTTGTTTCCTCTACAGTCAGTTGTGCCAAATGAAATGGTATTGGTTTACTGCTTTGTGTCTGTGTCCTGGAGGTGCAAATATAGAAGTAATCAGTGCTCAGGGATAGACCAATTTTAACAGCCTACATTCAAAACTCAGAGAATAATACAAAATAAGTTTAGCATCTAACCGATTCTCTTTCTCCTTCAAGAGGATTCCCTTTCACAGGGGTCCCTTCCCACCCAAACCATTCTATGATTCTATGATTAACATATGCACCCTTGCAGACAGCCACAATGTCACCTATTTGCCAATAGCATCCTCTGTAACCTCTGTCTTGTGGACTCAAGTGGGCACGAATGAGCCTTTGCTAGGAACTGCATCTGAGTAGAGCCAAGGCTAGTTTATACTGGCCAGACGTGTCACCTGGGAGTTCTCGCTCTACTTTAGCTGAGAAATACACAAGTATCCTTTGTAAAAAAGCCCTCTCCATGGAATATATTTTTTATTCCTGCAAGTACCCATGCAGACGTTCCTGTAGACAAGACCTGTGTGAATGTTTGAGGAATGCTTGTTTGCTGAAATACCCTGCCAGTTGAAACCAGTATCTGTTACAGCTGTTTAACAATACTCCACTCTTCTTATGCAAGGGACATGAACTGCAAGGGAACTCCAAAGTGGCTTTTATGAGTTAGTAGCAGGGACAGTGACTTCATGTATTTGATTACTGATGACTTTACTAGCGAAATGCTGTTTTGTCCAAACTCGGGACATGGGGAAATGAGTTCAGGCTAGCTAGTAAGCAAACATATATGGTTTTGATCATTAACTGAATCATGAATTGTTCATCCAAATAGGGAAATAGAAGGTGAGAAAGGAGGGCAGTAATGCTTGTTTGATTAAAGGACTGTGCTCTCTTTGCTACCATTTTGTCTCTCATCCATTGCCACTCTGAAGATTACATTTCTAATGAATTAACTGCTTGGATGTGGCCTGTAATCCCCCTGAGCAATTATTTTAGCATCTGCCACGACAGACTCAATTTGGCTAACAATTGCTATAGCTCAGTGTAGAATTAGTTCTGGTTCAGCTAGTAATTACTCATATGTATGTGTGGTGTAGCCACTTTCGCTACGAGCTCCAGTCATTTTGCTGAGCGTGGCCTCAGAATAATGCTGTGCTTATGTAAAGTTGTCATGTGTCAGTCAGTTTATTCACCTCCTTGCTCTGTCTGTTGACAAACTGAAGATATTTCTATATCAAAGTCGTTTTAAATGTGAGGGGAAAACCCGACAGCTGAAGCTGAAATTGCAGTATTTAGTCAGCTTTCAGGAGTGGTAAGCTTGTGAAATTTGTTCTGTCATTTGGTGCACAGGCTGGAAGTACAAGGTTGTCTCCTAATTTTCTTGTTAATAGCTAACCTGTACACATCAGATTAAGCTGCAGGAGGATGTGGGGCCACAGAAGTGTAGAGCCCTCTCTCCTTCCTGCTTTTGGAGATCAGTGCTGTATGTTTCTATAGCTTTCCCTCCTCTGGATAGGATTTTTTTTTTCTCCCAGACTGCTTCAAGTGCTGATTCCCACATTTGGTGAGGAAAGAGCTGGTGACTCAATAACCCAATACGTGCTGCAGTGTCCTAGCTTACACTCTCTCTAATCCTCAGTTAAGACTGATACAGTGCACTATGAATTGGGACACAGTCATACATTCCCCTCGCTGCCCCTGCTGCTTTGCTGATAACCCCTGACAGAGCAGCAGATCTGGACAGTGGCATCAGGGGAAGTGGTGTGGTTACCTCAGCTGGATCCATCCAGGCTGCACACGACAGAGCTCTCAGCTGAACAAAGTCAAATGCCAGCAACAGGAGGGGAATTTCAAGAGCAGGTTAAGTAGGAGAGCCACGAGTTATCTTAATAAGACACAGGAGTCCTACCAAGAAGATTTAGATGAGTCTTTATTACATCTCTTTTGTAACAGACTTGAAGGCACACACATTTTCATCAGCACCCAAGTAATGTATACGGACAAGTACAAGCATTTTGGACAAGGCAGAACATAATCTTGGTTTATGGAAGAAATAATACTGGAAAATACGTGTTATGTATTTGTGTTATTTTACTTTTTTATACTGCTTGTGTCAAACCAAGAAGAGATACGGTTAGCTTGCAGTTACCACCTTACATAGTGAGGCGTGCATGTAGTAAAGGTGTTTGTGTAAACATTGGTCTAGTTTGGAATTTGCAGTGGCAGTCATTTTGCAATGATGTTTAACAGTACTTCTTTTGGGGTGTAGGGCCCAAGTCTGCAATGGAGAGACAGTGATCATGTGAGTCCTTTTCATGACCGAGAGTAATTCATCTTCCAATAGAGCTAGGAAAGACTTTCTAACAGAACATTTTCTTCTCTAGTGTCATAAGAGAAGGACTTAGCATGGTGCCAAGTAGGCCAGAAGGGTTTCTAAGGAAGTAACAGGGGTATTTCCCTGTTACCCTGTCTGTTAGAAACACCAGGTATCTGCCACAGTATCCAGATGGAAATTTGAAGGGAAAAGTGTTTAGGGAGAATTCACTGATTAGATATGTAATTTAATTTGGGTTTGAGATTACTTTGTGTTCTTATGCATAGTTTTGGTAAGGCTCTCATCACCTGCTTCCAACTGTGATTTTTTTGTTTTGATTCTTTTAGCCATGAAAGATCAGGATTCAGGCTGCCTGCCAGAACATTTGTATAATGAAGGAAGTAGGAAATATTGTAGGAAATATAAAAATGACAATTGTATTCACCTGGTTTCTTATCACCTCTGGTCATGCTCTCCTCTTGATCAGAGGCCAGGCCCATCCAGTGATTAGGGATGTGGAGGTTTTTCTCCTGCAGCATATCAAGTGAATGTGAATCACATAGTTGCCTCTTCACCTTTTTATAAATCTCACCCCTTCCTTACTAAAGGAATGGACTGCTAGAAAAATAACCTCTTGAGCTTTCTTTCCAGAAGTTTACCACCTAGTTGACAGCCTGCTTCATTTGTTACATGTAATATATGGCTAACCACAGAACCCCATCAAGA